GACAGGTTGATGTGTACCCAGAGGTGGAGGGATTCAGCCGAGATTGGGACACCCAGGCGTTCGCCCAAAGGTGAGCGTAGAGCGGTGAGCGAGAGCAAACATGGGGGGGGTGCCTTCTGACCCCTAGGGGAGGGGCACTACATGCACAAGACCGCCACGGCGGAGGGCGCGCGCGTGAACAGCTCCAGGCCCCAAATGACGTGTGAGTGTTAGAGTTGTTTGGTATTTTGCGCCATAGATAGCGAAGAAGGGAGGCAAGGATGCACCAGAACGGTACCGCCCCGATTCGTCCCCGCCCGCACGATTCAAACAAACAAAACAACAGAGTGTTAGAGATGTTTGGTATTGCTAAAAATCTATCTCTCTCGCAAACAAAACGAAACGATTCACACTGGACTGCTTTTTTTTAGAAGATCTCTCTTCTCTGCGGCCCGTTCACGCCTGTGTCATCCACACGCAGGAGAAATGTATACTTCACTAGTGACCAGTCTTCTTAGGTTAGGTAGAAAGGTGAAGAACAGTCAGGCTCGGACTGGACACCAGCGCGGTATGGGTGGACGCGGGACAGATGATGACGACACGCACGAGCAACACACAGACACAAACAAGCTCACAAGACACACAGCCAGCAGGCTGCCACACACCCTGAGTTGGCGTACACATAACTCCGGGCCACATCCTTCCTGTCGCCCCCCCCAGCACTCCAAGGTGCCAAAGGACACAAACAAGGGCACAACAACACAACAGACGAACAGGAAGTCACATGTCTACATGTGAGACTAGAGCAGGCTTGCTCCGCCTCTAGCAATCTCGCCACCAGCCGCAAGGCATGGACGAGACCGTGTGTGGGGTCATGTGAGGTGTCTATGGACGCCCTCCTCAGAGGCTAGCGACCAGCTGCCAGCCCTATCTCGCACTCACGGGTAGTCGGCAGTGACAAAACTGACAATTCAATGGGTGAGTGCCTGAGTGGTTGCGAGCAGAGGCGCGTGGGCTGAATCTAGATCGCACGCCATGGCATATGACTTGGGTGGGCGTGCGACCGCAGCGCGCCAGCCGTCAGCTCGACGGGGCGCGCGTGTCAGCTAGAAGTTTGCCAGTACTCGCGTAGAGCTATCCTGGTCTTTCCGAACGAACATCTGAAGGCGAGCCCCGCGCCACGGTTGCCAGCCGTGCCTCCGCGAGAGTCGCCCCTCGATCGTCCCGCCGGCACTGTCCCGATGTGCGTCGTGCGCCGGCGGTCTTCTATCTCGGGAGGTAGCCATGAACGGCGCATGGCCATGGAGTCACTCGAGCTCCCAAAAGTCAGTTCTGTTAGTCAGATTCTAGATGTCATGGTGTCCGAGAAGACGGGCGGCGGCGACCCAGACATGACGCGGAGCACCTCCCTCGAGTCATCATCGCCCAGCACCCCCTCCCTCGAGGATGGGGCGAGCCTCGCCGGCCCGAGCTGGGCGTGCGAAGTGGGCGAGTCGCAGCGGAGCCTCAAGGGTGAGGACTGCTACGGGTCGAGGCGGGTCGCACTCGGGGGAGACGAGGTGGTCCTCGCGATGGTGGCCGACGGCCACGGCGGCAGCGCCGCCTCGAAGTACTGCGAGCAGCGCCTGCTAGATTATTTCATCGCGGCGGCCGACGGCGACGCGTGCGCCTCCTCGCTGCGCGGCGCGTGCGAGGCTTGCCTCGCGCGGGCGCACTCGGAGCTGATCGAGGTCACCACGGCGGGCTCCACCGTCACCCTGGTCGCCCTCAACCTCACCCGCGGCGAGCTCACCGTCGCCAACGTCGGGGACTCCGAGGTGAGGAGCACTCCCGCCGCACACGCATTCTGCCGAAGGGGGCTCCGCCCCTCCCCTGGACCCCACCTTTCGCCGGGGTGTGCGCCCTTGATGCCGCGACGCGTGGAGGGAGCCGGAGGGCGCGTGCTTACCCCCCCCCCCCCTCGGGGCTCCTGTCTTCTGACCCTTCCACCCCCCCACCCCCCCCCGTCCCCGCAGGGTTGGCTCGTGCCCTGAGGGGAGCCGGCGCGGCTGTCCGTGACGCCGCCAGAT